GGGGGGCGTCACCACAACACGAGGAACTGTATTAAAGTCGAGGCATTAGGTCTTTCTCTCGCAGAGGTGCTGGGTAGATTCAAACCACCAATATTTCTTTGGGCCATCAGAGCTCATTCGGGGCTTAACTGGAGTCCCTGTAAATGCCTTCTTGACTTTGAATCCTTAGTTTTTCCCCAAACCCTCAGACTCATGCCATCAAGTTGATTCTGACTGACTCGCAGCAGCCCTGTAGGGCGGAGTAGAGCTGCCCTTGTGGATTTATTTCCAAGGCTATAAATCTGATGGCTTCGACAGCCTCGTGTTTCTCCCGCAGATCGGCCGGTGACTTCCAACTGCTGACATTGCAGTTAGCAGCCCAGCTTGGAACCAAGCACACCACCTTGGTTCTTGGCAGAAACTCAGGAAATAGAAGATTCACAAGAATAGTTGAATTTCTGTTATGTTTGTCCCAGGCTATTCACAGCAGTAAATTGTTTCCTTGATTGAGAGTTAACAGAAGCTTAAGCCGTTTGCTAATAATGTAACAAGCATATAGTAACCAGTGTATAATCTTAACATCATGGAGGTTAAAATTCTAAAAGGCATCTACCATAATGAGGTTTGGGGTTTGTTTGTTTCCTTTTTCTTTAATTGTGATTTGGGTGAAAGTCTGCTGAGCAAATTGGTTTTCCAGTTGACATTTCATACACGTTTTGTGACATTGATTGCAATTCCCACAGTGTAACAGCACTCTTCCACTTCCTCCCTGCCTTTACCACTTCCCTTTGCCTTCTGAGCTTTCTTCCTGAACAAATGCTGCCCTTGTGGTGAGATTTCCCCAGCTCCTTCTGTTCATAATATTCAGTTCTCACCACTATCCATCTCCAAATGCTTCCATCCATGATGACCTTTTGACCAATTCTTAGGCTTTGAAAACTGCTGAGACAATGGTAATGAGCCTTATACGGATACAACGGTAGTTCATTGTTTAATTACACAAGGCTGCTTCCCTCTTATTTTTTTAAAGATCCTCTGAAGAGCTAGCGATATTGGGTCCTTTGATTTGACTCTAGTAGTCTCGATGTGAGTCCTCGTTACACATAAGGCCAATCTCACGTACTTTATTCCCACAAAGAATGTTGGGGTTTAAACAAGGCTGTTTCAATGGAGAGTCAGGAGTGAAAGTCTGGAATTTGAAACTGTTTACATCCCTTCTGTGATTCCTCAATCCTTCCTGCTGAACTGAATACCACTCTTGTCACCTGGAAACACAGGAATACTATTCTCCAATAAATATTTGGCATGGAAAGAGTAATATACTAAAACCAGCCTTCAGAGAATTCCAGGCAGGGATATTTTACCTTGGAAGCTAACAATCACAACCAAATGCCTAGTCTTGCTTTTTATGGCTTTTCAACAGAAAGCCTCATCAAATATGGAGTAAGGAAACCTCCTTTTTTATCAAGGTTTAAAATGTATGGTTGTCACTTTCCTCTCGATAAGCTCTAATTATAGCAGATGGATTTGAAGTGAGAAATAGCTCTGTCTAATGGACGCTGTCACTCAGTGCATTCTGCCCCCCAGACCGGATGGATGTGGCTCAGATACAGAGTTTGAGAGTCCGAAAGATGGCAAGTAAAATACTAATTTCTAACTGCCTCCCTCATGCATTAAATATTCATGTTTAAAATGGTTCTGTCTCATAATGAGAACTAAATGTGTGTGAATGCATGACACCAGCTTTATTAAAAAAATGGAAATAATTTATCTTTCATATGATAATTTCTCTTGGGGAAAAACTCAAAAGGACAGGCTTTTCCATTTCCACTACAAAATGAACTAGGTTTCGCAAACTGACAAAACTTGAAAAATGATGAAGGTAGTTGGGAATTTGATGAGCCCTTGACTATTTGGTGGTATAAAAAAATATTTGTTGAAGGTTTTTGGCTTTACAAAATATACAACTGAAGTAAGTGTGGATGAAATTCTAAGTTTCATTGTATCGGTAGAGCAGAAAGTAGAGATGAACCAGAATGGCCACATGTGAATAATTGTTCAAGCCAGCTATTGAGTGCATGGGTGTTCTTTGTACTGTTCTCTCTGCTATTGTATTTCTGAAATGTCCCATTAAAAAAACAATCTTTTAAAGTGTGAGTAATAAAATTCAGTGAGAAACCACGCTAAAGATCAGAAACATTGAGCGTTGTTGCACATGGTTCACTTCCTCTTGTGCCTTCTTTCATGTCCAGTGAGCCTTATGTTTCTAAAAGATAGCGTCAGAACCTTAGAGTTGACATCATAGGTGGGACTTTAAAAACCGTGGTGGGACAGCTGGGCAGGGAAGGAGGTTTACTTGTTCTGTTCAGGTGCAGGATATGCTGCTCTTATAAAGAACTGAATTTTGGGTGCCTTAGACTTTTATTTCACCCTACTGACTTCTCTCTCTCTCTCTCTCTTTTGTTTTATTTCACTTGGAATGAAGTCCAAAATGCTTAACATAATTTAAAGGATTTTTATGTGATGTGTATCCCTTGCCTTCCTCTCCTGTTTTATCCCAGGTTGTTTCATTCACACCCACTGTTCCATAAGTGCTAGTTGTTCTGTGTCTAGAACTTGCCTGGTTCTTGCCTTGATATATTTATATTGCCTGCTCATTGCCTGAGGAACTCCTACTCAGTCTCATAGTAGTACTATTTGCTCTTCCTCTTCATAATAATAGGTATTGTGTGTCAGTGTAACAATTTTTTTGATGCCTGACTCTGGCCTAGTTAAAAGACGAGGTTTTGTTCCTCTGTATAATTGGAGCACCTACCATAATGCCAGCCAGTGTGCATTCATTGTACAGCGGGTTAAAGGAATGGATGGTAGCTATGGATTCCCACTGTGTCATATAGCAATACTGACTGTTAAAGTAGTGCACTTATTTCCAACACTCTTCTGTTCATGTGGTATATAATACAGTTACCTCCCATTTTTGTTTAGATTGAATTGTCTTAATGCTTAGTATAGTCTTTGCTAGTATCCTCACATCCTTGGGGATTTGATTCCAAAACCCCTGGGGATACCAAAATCTGAGGATGTTCAAGTCCCTTATATGGAATGGCTTAGTATTTGCATATAATATACACATAACCTCCATATACTTTAAATCATGTGTGGATTATTTGTAATGCATAATATGATGTAAATACTATAAATAACACCCTGTACTCCCTCATAGCCATTTAAGGGTTGCTTTGACTAGTTAATTACGCTGCCCCTGAACTCCCCCATCCCCAATATTTTTTGATCCATGGGTGGTTGAATCCTTGCATGTGGAACCCAAGAAATAGAACCTGCTGGTAGGAAGCCAATGGTGCTATGGATTTCTTGATGGATAGTGTTCCTTAATTTCAGTGGAAAATTGAAACTCAGGCTTTAATCATTAAACAGATAGAAGTGTTTATTGTATTTCTCATGTTGCATTTAGTTTTCTTTCAGTTCTGTGAATCTGACATGTTTTTCTTTTCTCAGGTACTCTCTGCCCTTGACATCCTCCAGCCTCCGCACATTGACTATTTTGAAGAAATGTATCCTAACCAGGGAATGTGGAAGAAGGGGGTCATGTTTTCTTAATATGTTCTTGTTGCCCCTGTGGGGTTCATAACTTGAAGTATAATAAATACCAGCTTCGCAGGAGTCCGTGAATACCTGGAAATAGGTAATTGTGAAATCCAAAACATTCTGACAGAGCTCATTATTGTCCATGTGTCCTGTGTGGCAGTACCATGAGACAGAACTTCTGAACAGGTACTTAGTACCCACACAGCCTAATGAGCTGGGCTGTAGCATGTCCGTGTTGTCCATGGAGCTAGTGTTGCATTGGGCCTCAGTCAAGTGCCTGTCAAGAAGATAACATTGTTCTGCCTTCTGCCACTTGGGGTAAGAGGAAACTTAGCGAGCTAACATAAACTACATGTTCTTGGGACTCTGGTGGTAATGGTAATGATAATAGCCATTACATAAATAGTTTCTATAATACACTAGGCATAGATCCAAGTGTTTTACACATAGGAGTTTATTTAATCACTACCTTTTTTAAAAGGAGAACAACTCTGGGGGAAAAAGGTGTTACAAAAGTGTTCCCATTTTACAAAATTAGAAATTGAGGGGTAAAAGGTAAGAAACTTGCTCAAGGTCACAGAGGTGTAAGTGTTGGGATTGAGGCTCAAGCCCAGGCAACTTTGCCACATAGTTCGGTCTCAACTACTACCTATACGATTTTCTTAAGATAAAAGCTTTCAAATTCTCATATTACTACTACGAATGTTTAAAGTTGCATGCTTACTATCTTGGGTAATAATGATCTATAAACTGTGCCCTGGTAATAGCTCCTGAAACTGTGCATGAACACCAATGGGATATAGGGTAGCCCACCTGATATGCTTAGGCAATGTCACCATTTACCATTCTGCATTTAAACTTTGTGTTAAAGATTAGTAATCCTAAATTATGTAATCGATGAGCTCATGATAGTGCAATTTCTTCTTTGTGGGGTTTTTAATTAACATTTTGGGCTTGTTACTCAGAATGGAAACCATTGTCATAATTCGAAGCTTTTAAACATTCAGTAATGATATAAATTAAAACCTCATTCTTACAAGGTGGTAGGTAATTTCATACTCAACTATCATCTTTGCTAACTTTCTCAGACATTGGGAACAGTTAGCCATTTCCTGAAGGGAAAAAGACTTAAAAGACTTGGGTACTAATCTTCCCCATTCCAAATAAAAGACTTCCATGAGTCTCTTGACTGATAAGACTATCTTTCCAAAACTTGGCCAGATCAGATAGTTTATGCTAACAATGTGATTTAAGATGATCACCTATTATTGTTCACATGAAGCCCTGGGACATACTGTACCAATATGACTTCTTAAGAGAACTCCCTACAGTAGAGACTAAGTAGAATCAGTCACTGCGTTAGGCAGGGTTCTCTAGAGAAACAAAACCAAGACATTTGTGTTTTTTTATATAGATTTAAGAGGATAGGTTTATACAGCAAGAAGGAATATAACAGCTAATTCGTCAGCACAGCAGTACTGAGGGCTCAGTTCAAGTCACTGTCGTGGAACAGTTAATTTATTGGAACTCCTTCAATTCACTTGGGCTGCTGGGTCCAAGGTCAGTGAAGCAGGCAGCTGAGGCTTCCCTCCAGGCAAGGCAGGCAGGCAGAGTCTGCCTTCAGGCAGCAGGGTGGGGCAGCAACAGTCAGTAACTCAGAAGCTTAGGCCCCATGGGATCTTGAACTCAAGCACTGCCCACAACCTCCAGCTCTAGCTATGTATGCATTAGCAGCTTGGTGAAGCTAGTCTCAAAGGAGCCTCATCGTGGGTTGACTTGGCCCACTGGCAGTGTAGCACACAGGTTGAGGCAGAGAACTAGTTAAAGCTGCAGCACACTGGTCCAATCTCCAGGGAGCAAAAAGGAGATGGAATGCCAGCTGTCTTTATTTATTTTGGTTATCCTCCAATCAAGCTGCAACCTGATTAAATTCCACCCACATGTTCTTATTGGCCTAGTCAGCACAATGAACCTAACTATCACAGTCACCCTGACAGGCCCTGGACATAGAGGCTCATGTGAGTGTTGCCTGTTGGGCACCTTGTTGCTGGAAGAGTTAAGTGCTCCCATGTGATCCCAGTGGGAGAGAAGATAACTGGAACCTTGTGTTTGTTTTCTCCTGGATTCCACCCTGTGGAATTCTCCGTTTTTTCCTTTGCTTATTTTGCTGTTCTTTTGCTGTAATAAACTATACCCATAAATACAATAGCTTTCTTTGCTCCTGTGAGTCTTTCTAGTGAATCCTCAAACTTGAGGGTGGGTGGTCTTAGGAAACTTGACACACTTTTAACAACAAATGAAAAAGTACAAAGGGTGGGATCATTTAAAAAGTTTTGTTCTCAACTATAGGTCAGTAATGTCCCTAAGTGGCAGAAGCAATTTCTAGTTCCCTGTTCATCCAAACCGTTGGTAGTTTACAGCCACACAGCAGTGCCATGGACGAAAGTATCTGCCTAGGGATCTGCTTCCACTGTGGAGCAATTCTACTCTTTGTGTAGCACATGGGCTGGCCACGAATCACAGTTAACTCGATGGCAAAACAATAGTGTGTCAGTGACCTATTTCATAGACTTCTTGAAAACTGCCTGGATCCTCACAGAAGAAAAGGAAGGATCTGATGGCAATGATTGGCCCTTATTTCTTTCAACAGAAGTACTTTTCTACATCTGGTTAGCAAATTTTAACTGGTGGGAAGGGAATCCACATCGTAGAAGGCGTTCTTATTTCTGCCTCTTTGGAAGTAGCGTTGCCGACACCAAACCTTGAAATAAATGAATTGATCTCATTTGTTAAGAATTTTACTGTATTCTTGGTTGTGTTGGGTGTCCCCAAGTCCACCATAGTGATTCACTTGAAGGACAAAGAGAACTCAGAAAAGCCTTTGTACGTGTAATTGTAGGGTATATTGATGAGAAGATACAGATTAAAACAAGCAAAAGGAAAAGGCGCCGCATGCGTTTACAGTTAGTTGTCTTCTGCTAGTGAGATCACACTAAGTCACATTTCTTCCTGCATTGATATGGGATATCAGTGACTGCCAGCCAGCCTGAACATTGGCACTAAGGGTTTTCATTGTGGGTAAGCCATGTAGGCAGGAATGCCTGACCTTAGCTATTTTTGAGCTGGTATGTGGATTCTCCCCAAAAGGTCAGACAGATACTAGGGCCCCAGTAAAAAGATGTGCTCATCATAAATCACATTGTTAGCATAAACTCTCTGGAGTATATCAACATCTCAGATATATAAAACCACCCATTTTGGGCAGGATATTTAAGGGCAGACTAAAGACCTTGGAAATGTGTAGGCTGTGGACAGTTAACTTTTTACTACACATAGGCCAATTGTAGGGAGGTAGTGTTTTCATATAAGTTGGGGAATATGGGTGCATTTAATAAGTACCAGGGAGATTTTTGTTCTCTTCACTGAATAGTTAACTAATTCATTATGTTCATTTTGTGCCTCAAGTATTAATTTTGTGTTTATGGTTTATTACTCTTAATATAATTTATTTATTTTTATTTTATTTTTTATCTGCAAACATCCATTTTAATAGAAACATACAATGTGTGAAGTATGAATCTAGAAAAACTACAATAAAAAAATGCAATGAAACAAATACAGATCAATATGTCAGGCATGAGTGAGCTGAAATGGACTGATATTGGCCATTTTGAATGAGAAAATCATGATTTCCTAAGCTGAGAACTAAAAATTGAAGACAAATGTGTCACATTTAATATAGTTTATTTTTATCATTGAGAATATACACAGCCAGAACAGACACCGGTTCAGTAATTCCTGCTTGCACAGTGTGTTACACAGTGTGTTACAGTTGTGCAGCCATTCTCACCTTCCTTTCTGTTGGTCCTTCCCATGAACATGAAACTCACCACCTCCCTGAAGGTCCCATCTAACCTTTCAGGTTGCTGAGGTCCGTTTGATCCCTTTTAGGTAGATTTTAAAAGAAATCTTTATGTACTTTTCTGACTCTTAAGTTGTAGTTGTTTTAAAGTACCATCATTTGGCAATTCTGAGTTTCGTTTTGAAACTGCATTAAAAACCGTTTGACAATCCCTTTGAGCCCACTGAAATTTAATCCAAGAAAAGCCAGTTCTAATGGTTTTATTGAAAAACAGAGTTTATCATGCCTCACTCATGATTCTGGACCCAGCACAATGTGCATCAAAGGCCCTTCACCTGAATGTACTAAATACCTACTGCATTAGAAATTAATCCTCGCATTTCATGGAGAAGAACAGGTGTGGTGGTACTGGGCTTAGGTGTGGAACTGATTACAGTTAAAGCCAATGGAAATGTACAAGGGGCTGCCCCCACCCCCAAAAGGAATTTTTTCCCAAGCTATATGTTTAAATTTTTTTACAAAACAACTTTATCACCTTCAAAGTATTTGCCATTACACTTAATGCATTTGTCAAATCTGCAGTTCCAGTCTTGGAAACATTTTTCAAACTTGTGTTTGGATGGCTGACAGCAACTCCCTCATTTTTTTCTTCACCTCTTCTATGTTGTCAAATCACTGTCCTTTCATGAACCTCTTTATTTGCGGCAACACAAAGAAGTCGCACAGAGTGAGGTCAGGTGGTAAGGTGAGTGGGGCAAGAGAGGCATATACTGTTTTTTGCCAAAAACTGGCACACTGAGATAGCCACATGAGCAGGTGCATTGTCGTGGTGACAAAACCAGTCCACCGTCTGCCACAAATCAAGGCTTTTTGTTTACACATTGTTATGCAATCTTTTCAGAACTTCCAAATAGAATGCTTCACCCTACCAGTCTGACCTGGTAGGGTGAACTCCAAATGCACTATGGGTTGACCTTTTTGGCCATTCAGGAAGTTGACAGAAGTCCAGAATGAGGTTTGTCATCAATTGACATTTCGCCTTTTTTGAAACAAGAAAAGCTCCCGTATATTATGCTGTGTTCAACAATCACAACAGTTTCTGTA